TCGATACAGGATATTAGATTCATAAATATAATTAAAAAAATTGTAAAAAGAGCTTCTATCATTAATTGTTTCGCGTTGTGATAATTATGAAAATTTGTCTGGGAAATGCACGTAAATTTGGCAGCAAGTTTACTAGTCGATTTATAAAGGTTGTATCTTATAAGTTTACATGACATTAATATTTATTACATAAAATACGAAAATACAAAGAGAATGATCAAAATCTACTCGAAACAATATGTCCTGCAAAGTGCAATACAAAAATCTATGGAACTTTTTATGCAATTTTCGCGGAATCTGTGTGACAACAAACTTACATCGTGCAATAATGATTATTTCAATACAAATATATTTGTTTTTCCAAAGAAATGTAATAAAAAAATTGTGGAGTTTCCAAGTCACCCAGACATTGTCTCACGTTGTGATAACCATGATAGCCTGTCTGGTCAGCTTACCGTGTGAACGGGGCTTTCCGGATCTAGCGAAAAATATTTTATGCACGAATTCACGAAGAAGGTCGCCGAGAGGGAGATAAAAAATTGAACGTTGATTACCGTCAGATAAGCGGGTCGTATCTCCCGTCGGCGAACAGTTACGTTACTAATTAAAAGACACGGAGCATACACGTGGAAAATATGAACCCACCGTCGTCAATTATTCCCGAATTAGCGGAGGAATGTGTAAGACTGGAACGGCGTAGCTATTTCATCGTGTTTATTAAATTTCTTCGACATCTGCCTCTGCTTCCCCCCTCGCGCGAGACGCAATTTGGCTATGCACGTCCGTCCCGAACTTACATCGCGCGTTAGACGAAACACGTGAACTTATTGCCGCTTTCACAACTCCTCCGTGTTTTCGAGCGCGTACCAAAGCGCCTTGCGATATCTTTAATTAGACGTATTTCTCGATGGCGCGGCTTTTAGTACCATTCTGTCATATTTATAGCCGACTCGTTGAATAAATTAGAGTATATCGATCCTGTGGAAAAAAAAAGAAGTTATCGTCCTGAAATTACACGTCGCATTTCGGGGCTGTCGACTGTTCCTGCGGATCGCGAGGGTAAAGCGAGCTACGACATAGCCCTCGTAGCTTTAACATTACACTCGTAATGTAGGCGAGTACGCGTCGCGGCAACAGTATAGCTGGAAAGCAAACGCAGTCTATAATTCGAGATCTCGCTCGTTATAAGGAGTAACAGCCGTTACATTAAAGCGACGAATTACGCCGCGGTATTGATTCAACGTGGGTGGTTAAGAGCGCTATTTACAATTTGTAAATGCGAACGGCGCACGGCGATTGTTGCGAATTAACGCTGCAAAATGATGGCGCGACTTTGAAACTCGTCAAAGAATCCGTCGGCAAAACTCGATGCGACGCGAGTGGAATACTCTATGCGTCAATTCGTGTGATGTTAATAATTAAGTGCACTAAAAGCCGAGTAGTAGCGCACGTTCGTTTGTGCACAGCGACAACTGTACGATAGCACTGCAGCAAGTATTTACGATCTAGTGCATATTGCATGGAAAAAAATTTAATTATTGAATTTTATAATTATTGGAATTGACTGCAATCGCATGGAACAACCGTGACGCAATTTTAGACGATGCCTTATTACGCGGCGTGAATAATTACTTCGGCATTTCTTTAGATTTGAAGATCGTTAAATAGTGATCACGTGTTGTACGTGCAGATGCAATCGATATGAGTGCGTCCGGTCTAATCGTGATACGTTATCGCGCGAATTAATGATAGATCGGCAAAAGTGTTTGGCACTTGTCACTATGGTCGTATAATGAAGGACTTATCGTAAAGAGAACCATTTTTGTCGTAAGTGTTACTATAGTATTATAAATAATAATCTCATATGTATGCTGTTGCTGCTACTTTTTTTATTAGAATAATAAAAGTTATAATTAAGGTCGAAAAACACTATAATTTTACAACAGTAATCATTTTTTTCTCTGAGTGTAATCTTCACCATGATTTCTCGTGAGATTGCAATTAGACAGAAAAGCGCGAGCTATAAATGTGTAAAATGTATAAAATATACAGGGTGTCTGACAATTCATGACATGCCCGTTGTAAAACTCATCGAACTGAACACAATATTCCTCTATATTTTGCAAAGACTACGTTAAATTTTGAGTTGTTAATTAAGTTATTAATTAAAGAAGATAGGCGAATGATCACGCGCGTTGGGTCGAACTGAACAAAAAAGTTCTATACTATTTTGCAAATAACCACGTAGATTTTTAGTTATTAATTAAAGAAGATTGCTACATGATTGTGCGTGATAATGCAACAATGTTCTTTAATTGATAACGAAAAATTCGCGTGGTCATTTGCAAAATGGCAGAGGACATTTTTGTTCCGTTTGATTTAATGTACAAGCACACGGCGGCAGACGTTGTCGTCGCAGTCACAGTCCACCGTATCGCGCGTCATCATTCACCAATCTTCTCTGATTGATAATTCAAGATTTTACGTGGTCATATGCGAAATGGTAGAGGAACTTTGTGTTCTGTTTGACGAGTTCTACCTGCACACCACGGATATGCCGTAAATATCTTGTATATCAGGGAGTTTTTGTTCGCTCTTCGTTCGGCTCGAAGGGTGGAGGCAATTTTTGTCATTAGGATGAAGCTAACGTATCGCGCGGGCTACTCGACGATACTCCGCGACTATAAGAAGACTACCGGGCTTAATGCACGCATCCCTTACGCTTGTGGTAGATGGGATAGAGCTGCGCTAGAAGAACCTTGTGTTCTGTTTGACAAGTTCTACCTGCATATCACGAGTGTGCCGTGAATTGTAGGAACACTCTGTATATCAGGGTGTTTTCATTCGGTCTTCGTTTGGCTCGAAGGGTGGAGGCAATTTTTGTCATTAGGATGAAGCTAACGTATCGCGCGGGCTACTCGACGATACTCCGCGACTATAAGAAGACTACCGGGCTTAATGCACGCATTCCTTACGTTTGTGGTAGATGGGATAGAGCTGCGCTGGAAGAACTTTGTGTTCTGTTTGACAAGTTCTACCTGCATATCACGAGTGTGCCGTGAATTGTAGGAACACTCTGTATATCAGGGTGTTTTCATTCGCTCTTCGTTTGGCTCGAAGGGTGGAGGCAATTTTTGTCATTAGGATGAAGCTAACGTATCGCGCGGGCTACTCGACGATACTCCGCGACTATAAGAAGACTACCGGGCTTAATGCACGCATTCCTTACGTTTGTGGTAGATGGGATAGAGCTGCGCTGGAAGAACTTTGTGTTCTGTTTGACAAGTTCTACCTGCATATCACGAGTGTGCCGTGAATTGTAGGAACACTCTGTATATCAGGGTGTTTTCGTTCGCTCTTCGTTTGGCTCGAAGGGTGGAGGCAATTTTTGTCATTAGGATGAAGCTAACGTATCGCGCGGGCTACTCCGCGACTATAAGAAGACTACTGGGCTTAATGCACGCATCCCTTACGTTTGTGGTAGATGGGATAGAGCTTTCGCATCGCGAAATCGCGCGCTGGCTGGCGCGGGTCAGTCGGTGCTACCGCGACTTCCGTTCCCGTTGCACGGGCAGCCGCGTTATAAAAAGGGGTAGCTATTGAATTAAAAGGACGTAGCGAATAAGGCGGGCCGCAATGAGAAAGCGAGATCGAGATTCCAGCAAGCGAGCGAGCGGGAAAGCGCGCTCGAGGGTGAGGGGCACGAGGAGAGCGCATCGGTGTGAGAACGAGGAGGGTCGCGATGCACGCGAAGCGGCGAGGACGACAAGGACAGAGACAGAGTGACGGGCCCGGGCCAGAGGAGGGGGGAGAGAGGGAGGGAGGGCGAAGGCAAAGAGAGGGATGAAGTGCGGGGGTGGAAGAAAGGCGGAGGAAATGAGAAGAAGAGGGCTCTCTCTTCGCCTTCGGCCGGCTGTCTGCTCGCACACCCCTTCTCGCCCCCGCACGCGGGCCGGCAAGCGAGCGCAAGCACCAGCGCGCGCGCTTGCCGGCCATAAAAATAAAATTTCAATAAATCTCCGCCGCGCGAAAACTAGTGGGGCATCCCGAGGGCGGGCAACTCGCTCATTGGAGCTGCGTTGGCGGCGGTTACCGCCTACCACAAAGCGGAGACGGCGAGGGAGAGAACGAGAGAGAGACGGTAACCTGGATAGAGTTTACCTCGGGATATGGGCAAGCCTCGTACAGCTGCCAACCACCGCGGCCCACCGACTGAAAATCCGACGGTAGTACCCGCTGGGCCTGAGGTAGCTCTTCCTCTCTCGCCGTTTCCTACGTCCATCTCCACCTGCCACCTTAACGCGCCCGGCGCTTCTTTTCATCCCCGATTCTTTCGCCGTTTTCGCGCCCGAGGTTCCGGCTTACCGTGTCGCTCCTGTCTTCCTGGAGCGTGCATTCGCGTAACCCTACTGACGCGTGTCCGCGCAGTTACACGTATCGCGTCGCGGTCGCCGACAATCGCGGCAGGGGTGGTGGTCGACAGCGATTTTTGGGGAGGGTTCGACCGAGTCCTCCGCAGGAAAGGGATAGAGAGAAGCATGATCCAAGTATAAGACAGTAATTCCTTTTTTCTCAACAACTGGCTCGCCACTCAGGACTCGCAGTTACGCATCTCGCAATCGCCATTTCAATAACGCGTCCCCGTCGACGAACGAATGAGCGGCGTTTTCGGTTTCAAGTAATTCGCAGCTAATTAATGTTTCCCCCGCCTTCGGCGGCGAAAAAAGAAACGAAAGCAAATTTCGATCGCGATTTCGGAGAAAGGCACCGCGCACAGCTAGCTACCTTCCTGATTCCAGGTCCTGCACCTGAAGGATAGGAGCGATTTAATATCACGCCCACAACGGAGAGCGCTCGAGGGAGTAGGGAACTTCGCAGCCGTGAGCGCGAGCGAGAGATCGCTGCTGAGAGCGTTTACGCGAGCGAGACGCCGTCACTCCCGCTCAAGCAGTCGCGGGTGGGGGTGTCCGGATATGGCAGTCGGCCAGTCGGCTGTTTGCCTTCCTGGGGCACGGGCCGTTCCTCAGGCTCGCCTGTAGACTCTGGTATACTCTCTATATCCACGGAGACCGTGCGTTCGCGTCCGTCGCCAGTCCTAGTTTCCTTATTTCCGTGGTTCCTCGAGCTCACGAGGGTGAGGTGTTCGCGGTGTCGTGTGGATTTCCGCTTCCGCGTGCTGAATCGGAGCAACGCTCCCCGGGAGCGGCATGCTCAACAATATCACCGCCGGCGGTTCCGTACACGGTATCTCCGGTAAGTACCATATATACTGCCATCTTACCAGTGCGCGTCCGAAAAACTACCGAACCGGCCCGCCTAGAGCGCGATCGAGACATCTCGCTGTGCGTCGGGGTATGATTCTACGTTCTCTTGAAGTGGATCAGTAAATATGCTTCTGATTGGATCGGTACGAAGGACTAGTTCACCGATGATTAGTGTGTATTCACTGATTCTCAGTGAAAGCATTCTCACTTTACCGCTTCATCTTACTTCCCTCTGATTTTCACTCAGTGGAAGTAAGATCCCGCTGTAAAATCTGTAATGAGCAAATTCGTTGTACGTTACGCCAAGCCCAAAAGCCCAAAAGCCCAGTAAAAGCCCAAAGCCAAGTCTCTGGCGCTTTTGTGATGACGGGACTGATGACTCCCGTACACTTGACGTGTAATGACACTGTTTGTGTTCGCAAAATGCATCAATAGTGGGAATAGTCGCTACTCTTACACTGATCCAATCAGCGAGATCTTATTGTGATTGCAGTGCTACACTTATAACTAGTGGTCCAGTTATAAGTGTAGTACTTCAGTGAGCAACACACTGATTGTACTTTGGGGAACAGCCCGCAGCTGGATTCCTGCTAAATTTGCGACATCCATCGATTCCTGTCGATGGTTTCACGCGAGGCTTCTATGACTCGAACGTCTCCACGGAGCAAACGCTCTATAATTGAGTATTTCTTCGATTGGCAGCGAAATACGACAACCCACTGCGCGACCGTCGGTTCGTGTGGATGGTATCATCCTTTACCCTCAACTACGACCGCATACCCGCACACTTGTACACTTTGACCTAGCAAATACCATCATATAAATGCTCTCAGTGATGCTTAGATTATTGTCTCAACGACCGCGGAGACATTAAACACCACTTTTGAGCGCTTTCACGATGAGGGATGGCTCAGTTCTTGGGTGGTCATCGACTATGTCTGGCCGTCGGTGCCGCGCGCGTCGCTTTCCATCCGCGCTAGTGACTTCGTACACCCCGTCGCATATTTCTAGTTGACGCTCCAAGGAAATTGATGCTAAGTGTCGGGCGATTCGGCAGGATTAAGTAGAGAATAACTGATTTGAGCGCGGTTTCAGTCGCACAGGCTCACCTTTAATGCGAGGTCCTACGTGTTAACGTAGGAAGCCGGTTTCACCGGCATTGACTGATAGAATTTGTCGAGATTTATGGGTTTCCCAAATCACACATAAACTATGAAAAGTGACCGAATGATGTCGATAATAATATCTTTTTATCACGATCAATGTTACTGCGACGAGTCATTCGTCGAGCAGTCATCCGTTGGTACATATCTCATTGTTACATAATCGCGTCGACGTTTCCGTACTCTCTTAAAATGAATCAGTCAAACATTATTGAAAACGGTGAATATACACTGATTGCAGTTATAAGTATAGCACTGAAAGTGCTCAGTGCTATACTCATATCTGATATCAGTGACTATTCACTGATTCACTTTACAAGAGTAAGCCCCAAAGTAACGCGGAGACAACAACTTTCGCGAATCCAGATCGGTGTTCTACGTTTGAGCGCGATAATAGGCACATAGCAGGGTGAAAAATGCGACGGCATAGTATCAATGCGGCATCAACGCTAACTCCGCCGTTTGATACCTTCAATCTGGGATTTAAAGCACTGTGCCAAGTACTGTTGTCAAGCATCAGGTGTCCCATAAGAAGAGCGTTTCTTCGCGATTTTTATAGTGCGACCTAGTCGCGCCGCATTTAGTTTGTCTCGCGAGTTGCCGCAGCAAAACTCGAACTCCGCAGCGTCAAATTTTAGCGCGGAATTTTACTGCTTCAAGAGATTGACTGAATTTAAAAGTCAAGTAATTTCGTCAATTAGCCGGACAGATCCTCAAATACCGCGAATACCGCTCATTTTTTAATATCATACAAGAGTAACAAATTATTTATTTGAGTCTGAATGAAATTCATCGCTCGAAGGATAATCAGACGCCGGATGGAAAGTACACTAAAAAGAATTATCCGATAAAGTTAACAAACAGATATTTCCGATCAGATTGCGTTAAATTTTTATATCCGATCAGGATATCTGATTAAATTTAATCGGATACTTTCGATCATAACGGCATTTCATCAGATAAACCAATCAAGAAATTATGAACCGATATTTCTCATCGGATGTCTCCTGATTGAACAAAGATTTATCAGTATTTTATTCGGAATTTTCATCAGTATTTAATCCGTTTGTTAATTTTTTACCGGATAATTTCTCTCAGTGTAGCAATCTTTCTCTTCTTATTATCGCGAGACGATAATCACTTGAAAATTATATGCGCGAAAGGATCGACGTTTCCGTCGCTGGCGAATTGTGATGACTGTCTACTGACGAATTGATCAAGCAGGCAGCATTTGTCGCTAATTATTATGGCTTGTCGCTAAAAAATTATTACTGCAAACACGAGCGTGAAGCTTTGCCACATTCGAAACCTTTTGTTAGAATTAAAACGTATTTCTTTAGCATGGCTTTCTTCGCGTCTTGACGATTTAAAAGCGTGCCTCTCGCGACAATTCCGCATTCTTTTTATTATGTTGATAAATTAAATGTAAAATCACCGAAAGAGAGAGTGAGCTCGAATTCCGCGTTTAAATCAATTTGATCTGCATCGTCCGTCGGCCGACGTAGGGACTCTTTCACCGCTCTAATCCACTATGTGAATAATCCTGCAGTGGGTTAAAATTAATACTGTTTTCGGTCACTCAAGTATTTGTTACTCTAACGAATGCTCCTAGACTCGCGTTTGTTCTACAGATCAACTTTTTACTTATCTACGCACGTTCGATCGGGAAAGCAGTCGCGAGATTTCTAATCGAGAAGGAGTCTAATAGAATTATAAGAGAACAATCAACAGTAATTAACAAAGTTACGCTGAGAAAAAGAAGTGGTTGAGTTAATGAGACTTTACTTGAAGGAATAAAATACGTCCATGCAAACGTTTAGTCGATTGAACGAATTGATACAGTCGCTGTGACGAGTTATCAATTGATTCAATGATTGCAACTCTTCAGTAGCTGTGTAAGTAACTATGTCAACGACTTTTCAGTAACTATATCAACACAACTTGTTGTTTTGCACTAACGCGTGATTCGCTCAATAGATATAATATTCAAAGGCCGCCGATCTTGTCGATCCAACTGCTTCTTTTTTCAGTGTACTCGACTTCCGTTGCGCGTAATGTGCTGCTTTTGGCGCAACGCCGCACGCTTCGTGTCTGTTAGAACTGCGGGATGTCTCTCTCGACGACTAGTTCGCTGTTCCGTAGATAATGCAGTAAAAAATACGTACACAAGTGACAAAATTACAGAGTGGACGCGCGGAAGAAACGGCGCGTTGTTACGCCGGCAACACGTGACGCGCGCGTCTTCCGCCGCCCGGGTCTCAAGAAAGCCGCTTCTCGAGTTTGATGATCTTAATTACCTCAACACTGATTACATTACGCGGGAAGTTGAGGAACGATTTAGGGAGTTAGAATATTATGGGCGAGGCAAGAACTGGGCGCGAAGCGTCGCGCGTTAACACGGCTCAAGAGGAAGTTGGCGCTCGATTCTTCTTGTTGTCGTCGCGGCCGACCGGCGGCATTTTCCGACTGATCATCCCGTGCAATTTGTAAAACGGTCGTCCGCCTGATCTCATTAAATAACGTCGTTGCGATCGTCGAACGCGCGCGGAAAGGAATTTCTTTTCAAGCAACTTGAACAATTTCCTTAGGGCTTTTAATGTCATATCTGAGACTCTCCCCCGCGGTGTGGAGAGATGTTTGGTCTGGTTTCCGGATTAGTGTCGCGTCCATTTCGTGGATTCGCTTTCGACATTTTGCAAATGTCCCAGGTGAATCTCTCTGGTCGCTTTTCTACTGCAGAAGCATTTCCGAAAAGGTGAACTGAGAAAATGTTATAGTAAACATTACCATAGAATTTTGTAAACGAGGAATAGATCGACATTCTGTCGACTATCCTTTCAACTCGTATGTATTACTTATATTTTAAGAACTGTATGCTATTAAAATATTTGTTATATTCCCAGCGGCATTTATTATGTTTCTCGCACGGAGAAAGAAATGTTTAGTATTTGTAACTATAATCATATAGAGAAATAATTGTTAGCACTCATGTTTTAGCAAATTATTCTTTGAGTAAATTCTACTTATTGTGTTAGTGATAACAACCTTATATGCAAGCTACTGCCACTATTTTCGCGTTGGAACAACCAGAAAGTACGATTAGGACCATAAATAACCATGCTTTTAGTTAGATCAACCATTTCTTTCTCTCAGTGTAGCAAGATAGATTTTACTGACAACCTATCCCTGTGCACTACTGGAAACATAATAAGATTGAACAGAATTTACATAAAAGGAAACTATAACATTTTCTCCGTGTGGGATGTTCAAACGTCAGAGACAAATCCATGAGGGACGTGGCGCCAAACCGGAGGCGAGGCCAAGCATTTCCTTAGGACAATTTTAAGAAATCTCCTCTTTGGCACGGGATCTCGGGATTTTGTTGAAATTTCCATCGGGAGAGGGACAGCGCTCGCACGTGATTATAGCCGAATTTACGCGAGCGAGGTGAATCTCTCGTACGGACGCCTCTCTCCCTCCCGCCGCGCGACAGTAAATCGCGCTAATTCGTCTTCTGTCGAATGCGATTAAACATTATACTTAGTAACGGTTGATAAGTCAGTTCGCGAGCGCGAGAGTGGAGAGACACCGCCTTCAATTACGTCCTTTCAGTTTGCGCGATATCGAAAATCAGAAATTTCCCGCCGTCGGAAACGGACGCGCGCGCCCGAGCCCGCGCACACATCTCGCTTCAAGTATGCGTCCGTTAAAATTTTTTATGATATACGTTAATTGCATTTGGTGCGCATCGGCCATCCATTGAGACAAGGCGGGAGTCGCCGCCGCCGCCGCCGCTCGCGAGCGTGACACGCGAATAAATACGTCTGTCACGACATTTCCGGATAGTAATGTGATTTATGACTTTATTATTCAGACGTTTCTCTGCGCACGGCGGACTGTCAATCACGAGGTTTTCGAACGCCGATAAATACGCGGCCGAGTGTGTTATAAAAATTTCTTCCTCTTTTTTTTTCTCGTCCGTCGCCGCAGTCACCACTTTGCGTATCCTGAATTACTGCGAAAGCGAGCTGAATTGGCGGCGAATAGCCGTGCCGCGATTTTGAGAGAGAGAGAGAGAGAGAGAGAGAGAGAGAGAGAGAGAGAGAGAGAGAGAGAGAGAG